CGGAGGCGTCTATTCGTTGCCACAGACGGCGACGATGACGAGGCAGCCGAGGCTGACACCGACGCCGACGGCGAAGACGATGCTGATGACGACGACGACGACGACGACGGTGACGGCGAAGGAGGTGGTGAAGACGGCGAAGTGGACGACGGCGACGGCGACGGCGACGGCGATGACGAACTTACGTCCGGAGCATCATGTGAATTGGCCACGGCGACGACGAGGAATATGCAGCTGAGGAGGAGGGGCACAGCTCGACTGCCGACGATAACGAGTACACTGTAGCGCGTCTTGTTCATGTGTCGGTAGAAAAGCCACTTGACAACCACCAGGTAACGATGCAGAGCGATGAGGGCATGATGCCAGAGCGACACACCAACCAAGACCATGTTGAGCTCAGGCACCAGAGCGCAGATGAACCGACCCAACGTCCAACCGTGACGCACGTAGCTGGCCAGCACGAGCGTTTGCGCCAGGCTCAAGTTGATGGCGTCGTTGAGGCAGAGACTTGCGATAAACGCGTTGATCAGGTTGGCTCGTAGCCGGGCTCGACGGATCACCAACCAGATGATCCACAGATTGCCCGCGATCCCGGGCACCAGGAAGACCGTCATCACGCCGGCCGCAATTCCCGTCGCCAGGCGACTCGGTTCCGCGTGGTCACCGGTCAGCTGGTCCTGAAACCGCGACAGCATTTCGGTCTGAACAGCTGGTTTCACAGATGGCCGGCTACATGCGCGGCAACCGCAGCCTGGCCTCAACCGGCATCGGGACGACTCTTCATTCTCCTCTCGGCTCTCACAAAGTCTATGCCAATGCTGTCGGAAGAGGGAGGAGGTCGGTAGGACAAATGGGATGTGGGGAATGCCCGAAGAGTGTTGGCCGAGGCGAGCTGAGGTGTTCACGAGGACAACGTCTGCAGCCGGCGCATTGGGAGAAAGGAACAATGTTGTCTTTGGGCTGTGATCACGTCGACCATTTGACCAGACCGAAGTAGGCCTCTGCGGATAGAAGCATATTCCTCTTGAAGCCCGTGCGAATCACGGTGCGTTTGTCTATTTATTGTCTCTACTCGACCGGATCCGACTGTCCAGCCGGTCTTGATTGGCCGTTCGTCTCGACCAATGAGGCCTCTGGGCAAATTACCCCTATTCGCCTCACCTATAGCATGCCCAAAAGCGATCACATTGCACTAGGATGCTAAAATCTCTTTTTTTTCTTTTTTTTCCCATTTAAGAGCCATTAAAAAAAACGCCTTTGGAACAATTTCCCGTTTTCAGATGGCATAATAATCGGAATGTGTGAAAGGGTTGAGTAACGAATTTCACCTCATTGCCCTCCCTCAAGGCATCATTAGGGCAGAGCAAGCATTAGATATTTGCAGACTTTTACCAGAACAAAGTAAAAACTAGTGTCGCCAAGTCGCCGCATGCATTTGTCTAGTCGTTGAAGATTTGCGTTCAATTTGCCATAATGAGTAAAAACAGAAAAGTAAAAATACTAAAGCAAAATAGTATAGTGGCTAAATAAAATTTGATCAGAGTTAAATAAAATTAAGTATACCTACAAGGCAAGAGATTAACTTCAAATTATGTTTACTCTTCTGACTGTCATTAAAATCGCACTTAATAGT